CTCAGCCCATCCGCCTTATGATTTAATTAATTAGTTTGTCCGTATATCGCTATTGATTCGACCCATTTTTATGTACGAAAGGGCATACCCGGTTTGAGCATAATAGAATGAAAACTGCACACTATTGATCTCTTATGAAATATGTTAGCACGCAGACAAGGGCTACGACAGCAAACCTCTATTATAATGTATGCATACAAATATTAAAGCGCAATGGTCACGTGTACCACTTATTTAAAATAATATACATTTTGGAAATCCCCTTTCTATTTTTACACGACCAGCCTCGCTTTCGGCTTATCGACCTCCATCATCCAGTCCCATTTTTTTTAGCTGCGCATGCTAATGGAAACAGGCTATGCTATTCATTGTGCAATGAGGGAAATTGTGCCAGTTCATTCTCCTGGCTTACTCCTTACTTTTGATTTTGAAACGTTTGTAGTGTTTTTATAGCACAAATTAATACACAATTGTTGAGTTTATTGTATGACAACCACATAAAAAGATAATTATGTGCTTTCCGCAACAACAAGAGGCTTTCTTGATTTGTCCAGTAGGTCTTCAGCATCAGACTTCTGTTTTAGTTTCAATGGATTTTGTTTCAGATAATTTAAGACTGAATGAGAGCAAAAATCATCGAGATAAACTAAACTGATCGAACATTTGAATTTACTCTTGATGTGAATGGCAGTTGAAAATGACAGGATGTTTGGCCATAGGGAGTTGTTAGTGACGGAGTTAGCCTCCTGGAGCTGGGGGTCCTGATAGTATTGTGCAGCTTATTTTTGTTTGGGATGGTGCCACTAGGAGTTGTCCTAGTTCTCTTCGATTACAAAGTTATTTGATTATCTCAACTTTTTTCTACTAGAAATGGCAACTACAGAAATGGTCACCACAACAGAACAGCCTAATATTCCTACCAAATCGCAGAATCCAGGTGAGTTTAGATATCGTATAGATTTTGTTCGATGATTATCGGTACCCATTTACATGTGGGTGGAATGGAATAATGAAGAAAGGTCCACAGACTCTGTCAGTCTGAGTTTAATCTCAAGACTACCATGAGCCTATTATACGTAATCAACAAATGACGTCAGGAACAGTTTCCAACGTTTCAACCGACTGCGCTACGGTCCATCCTGAAAACAATACTAAGCTATAATCAATTATCAATTATAATTTGGGTTGTTTTTTTTCAGTTTCTGGTGACAATACCTACTTGAATACTGTAGTTTCTATTATATTGGTGTTTGTACTTACTGGAGCTATTATTGTTGTATATTTGTTTGTAACAAAGAAATACTGCTTCGCCAAACCTCAAACACCAACATCGTCATCAATGTCTAGTAAGGATTTCTTCATACCAAATGATAGCTTTGAAATCCAAATGGATGATTCACCGATTTTGGAGAAACGTAAGTTTATACACCTTATTCAAACCTCTAACGTTCGGTGTCTCTCGACATTTTGAGGGGGCTCAACAAATCAATCAAGTTATCTAAATTTTTCAGGGGGTGGGGCTGATTTGTCTACGAGAGAGAGAGAGGCCCCTTGCCCCATTAGCTACGAGCCTGGTTTCACGGAAGCCGAATCTCTTACAGAACGCTAATACAACTTCGCTCTGAACCCCTTTGACGTAACGGGAGGTAACTCTGAATTATCTTGGACTTGTTAAAAACATCCTCGAAAGAGAGGTTCTTGTAACTAACCAACTTTAGAAAGTTATGTTGTTGATTTAAATGGCCAGTCAAATTATTAGATTTTGAGGAAGCAATCCCTTTGCTTCTTTCATAAATGAAATGATTTCTTTTTTACTAATTTCAGCAAAACTTCCACTGGAAGAGCAAGGATGTCAATTGATCGATGATTCTAAACGGATCCATACTAGTCCCACAGTTGATGATGATGACGAGCGACACAGACTAATGATCGATCCCAATGAAATTGCGATTTTCGACAATAAGTGTAAGCAAGATGATGAAACATTGTTGAAAAGGACATGTGTTCAATAAGTTTCCCTGTGTATGATCGAGTGAATGAGCTCCTTAGAATGGGCTAGTGAAGTACTGCTTCAAGTAAGTAAAGTACTTGTGTGTTGGCAAAGATTTGCCTCAGACTAGCAAAGTTCTAACTAGGTCTAGTAAAGTACTGACTTGAGGCTAGTAAAGTACTGAATTTGGGCTAGCAAAGTACTGTCTCGGGCTAGTAAATTACTGACTTTCGGTTAACAAAGTACTATCTCGGGATAGTAAAGTACTGCCTCAGGCTAGTTAAGTGCTGATTTAGTACAAGCAAGATTACTGTCATTAGCTATCTAATTACTGTCTCGAATAAACAAAGTAACGATAAAGTACTGATACGGACTAGCAAATTACCGACTCAGGCTGCAAGTACAGAGTGTGGCTTGTAAAGCAGTTTCACTGTACTAGCAAATTACTAGTTTGTGCTATTAATTTTCATCTGTAGGGCTAAAGAAGTACTGGCTCGTAAGAAAATTAATGAATTTGACTGGCAAAATATATATATATGTATCGCATTAATAAAGCACTTACTTTGTGTAACAATGTACCGCCATGGACTAGTAAATTTCTGTTTCGGAAAATTTAAGTACTGACTTGGGCTAGCAAATGATTGATATGGGTTAGTAGAGTTCTACCTCGTGCTAGTAGTGTTATGACAGATGCATGCAAAGTACTGACTCAGCAAAAATCTGAACTGGTAGAGAAATGTACATGCTCGGAAAAGAAAAGTATTTACCCGGACTAACAAAATGCAATATATATTAAAAAAGGCCTGCAAATTAGATGGGAAATTCTGTCTTGATGATTTTTTCATATTTGTGTTATTAGCATCTGTGATTAATTTTATTAGATTTAAGTCTTGTTAAATATTAGGTAATAGTATTCTGTACAAACTTTATAAATAAGATTATCTCCCTTTGTTTTGAAGATAAAAGTTTGCAATTGCAGATTGGATCTAATATGTTACTATATGCTTACACTGAAAACTGCAAAGGACTAGGAATGTACTGACACAGATTGGCAGAGTACTAACACAGATTGGCAGAGTACTGACACAGGCTGGCAGAGTACTGACACAGATTGGCAGAGTACTGACACAGGCTGTCAGAGTACTGACTCAGATTGGCAGAGTACTGACACAGACTGACAGAGTACTGACACAGACTGACAGAGTACTGACACAGACTGGCAAAGAACTGACACAGACTGGCAAAAGACTGGCAAAGAACTGACACAGACTGGCAAAGAACTGACACGGTGTACTCCCACATATTGGCAAAGAACTGCCATTGGCTAGTAAAACCCTGTCTCGATCTAGCAAAAAACATATATGATATAATGAGTTGGAGTTTTGAATTATTTTTATAATGTAAATTGTATAACGTGTTGATTCTCTTTGTATTACCTTATTAATCGATATCTCTTCTGTGTCAATGACATGCAATCATCATCATTTCCTTAATTATCTTATAGAAAGGGCGACAAATTATAATTAGACTAACGTTTAAAATTTCCACATTTTTCTTTGAAATCTTTTTCATACTGACGAAATTATTTTTAACCATAATTGTTGAAGATTATGTAAATTGTAGATTGTAGATTGTAGATTGACTCACACGACATTACTATGAAGTCGTTGATTTTTGAATTGTGATTTGATTGGGTGTAATATGGTGATTGAACTTATACATTAAATATTATATCTCTGTCTATTAGTTGTTTAAATCCCCCCTTCCCCGATACAAAACAAATTAAGAAGAACTTTCCAAGGAAGACTTTCGCAACTCGTATGTACGAAATTGGACCATTCAGCCGCGGAACAGTGAGCTAGACTTTCTATTTGAATAAAATTCTACTATGCAGGCTTAGGAACATATGTCATACAATTTTTCATCTCGATAAACTATGTAACAGAACCTGGAAAAAAGAAAGAATCTGCAGAAACCGTAGTCTAGCCATACGGAAAGGGAGAGCTAAGGACCTATGTGATACAGGCGTAGGTCCCTCGACAGTTGGAAATAAAGAACGGGTACACTGATATAAATGCCACTGTCCTACTAAATTAAAATTCATTGTACACATCATGTTGAATGTCTAATGGTGTTGACCCTTCATAGCGTTTGTTCCCCCGTCTTCATTAGTCCGATTAAAAGCACAAAAGTAGAATATAAAATACTTCATTTCATATCAGTTCTATATTAATCCCGATCAACCGATAATCGGGGATTAGATTAGGGTAATTAAGGAATGATCTGGTCAGATAACGATTAGCTGTTCAAACAAACACTTTAATGATCACCCCAGTGTAATATTTGACCTTGGAATCAGTATATAAAGTCTTATCCCAGCCCTTTCTAGAGAGTTGTCACCGTGCCTAAAAACTAAACACTATCCTTCGTGGCCTCTAAAGGCTGGACTTTCTGTGCAAAGAACCCAACAAGAATTGCTCCTTATCGGCGTCTGGAATCATTGAATAGAAGCAAGAGGACACCAATCCTTACAAGACGTACAGTGTTCGAGGTGCATACCGAGTTTTGAAGATTCTGTTGACGATACAGTTGGGATCTCTCAAGCAATCCAAGATGAGGTGTCTATTACTCTTGGTTGCTGTGTTTGTATTAAGTTCGGCAGACAATCAGGCCATGAAGGAACGATTACTCAGAGTTCTCTCTACATTAGAGAAGAGAGCTGAAACCATCAATAATCAAGCTGCATCAGTAAGTAAAAATTTTTCTCATCTGCGTCATCGTCGTCTTTTTTTTTTTTGTCAATTTGTTTGATACATCGTCCCGAACCGATTATTAATTTACAAATGCAGAGTGGCCACAGGTGTTTCTGAAGGGTGAACATCCCTGCCTAGATCCGAAAGCCATGAAGTGTACAACAAATTCTTTCGACTTGAAGATCAAGATCTAATTTTTTTGTACAAACAAAAAACGAATTATATACGTTTTCGCCCCATAATACGTGTAAGAATACACCAAATCAATTCAATTTTTCGAGAACCCTCTCAGACGCACTATGAGAAGCTTGCTACTATATCTTCTCCACAGAGTTGCCGCATTTTGAATTCAGCCTCGACAGGTGCCCCCATCCCCCATAGAGTCAGTCTGCCCCCTTTTTGCACCCCAAGTCTCGGGAGGTTGGCGACACCCTTGGTAATAAATATACCAAAAAGGAAATTTTGGATTACGTTACAAATCCATGTATACCTATTATGTGTCATTATGAAACATCATCTCTGAATTTAAGAGAACAACAATTTTATTTCAGTCGCCTCCAGTTGTTGATGAACAAATTGAAAGTAAGTTTCCTTTTTTTATATGTTTTCAATACAACCTCCCGACTTAAAGATAAGGGGCGAATACAATTCAAGAAATTCGTGTAAGAAACGAGTCCTACATGACACGCTGTAATTGGTTAAAGCAAGCCCGTAGCTACACAGACCCCCCTCCCCCCGAAAAAATTCTAACAACTGACCAATTCGAGTCGCACGAATCTGTGACGTTAAACGCCATTTCTGTTCATGCCCTTTATTTCAGGTGTATCTGCTCAAGAATTTCGAGAAAGTGTAGAGAAATGGGGCGATGAATCAAAGAAATTTACAGACAAAGTTAATGCATTGACACCAATGATTTTAAACACTTTGACAAGAACCCAAGGTAGGGACTGTTATCGTACATTGTAGCATGAGCGTGGGCCACACTCTAGAATATAACTCAGAGTTAGGTGATGTCTAGTGTTCCTATAACCAACAGTACAACAGTGACCATCTTCTGGGGGAACATGTTTCTGAATCTGAGGCATAGTGTTCTACCCACAGTGAAAAACAGTTACATGCCTCTGTCCTGACAAAATAAAACCCTCAGTGTACACTGCATGGTGTTCCTGTTTCTATTACTCAAATCAGATTTATTCCATTCATTCCATTCCATTCATTTTCTCGTAGATTGGGAGTCGGTTGCTGTGAAGTTTGAGGAAATTTTAAGTGGAGGCGAGGACTTGTATAACACTGTATTAGACGATATTTTACAACTTGCTGAACGATTTTTCAACAGTAAGGGTAAGTGTGTCCGAATTTTATCATATTCCCGATGCTTCTTATCATAAACTTCTTTTGGAGGAATCCACTACTGTACAACTTTTACTTTGGACATTTTCAGCTGGGTGAAAGACAATCCTCCACCCTAAACTTCCAAGTGCTCCCTCCCAATCCACTCCGCAAATGAAACAAATGTGAGGTGCTTACATGACCCTGTACTACAAAAGTGAATACAGTCACGTTCCAAAATGAAATGAAACGAATGGAGTTTTACGCCCTACTTTTCTGCACCATGTGGGCTAATGAAGACGGGCAACGCAGGGTGCGATGAGGGGAATTTTGCCAGGACAGCGGCATTAGCCTGCTCTTTTTCGATTTCCACCTGCCGACAGCCTGTAGCACACGGGGCTTCGGTTAATTGTCCCATCCGAACGACTAGACGCTTTTTCCATGTCAGCCCCTCTTACCTGCATCACTGAAAGGGTTGAAAAATTCGAAGGTATTTTCTCGACCTATGCCGGGATTGAATCCGGGACCTTCGGGTTAGCGAGCAAGCGTCTAACTCATTGAGCCACCGCGACTCTGTCGTTTCAGATAGTGCTCATAAGTAAATTTATGTTCAGTTGTAATATATCTCTATTTTTATTGTATATTTGTATTTCATTCACAGTGAACCCTGGATTTAAATCATCATCTCGATGTTCTTCCGTTCAACGTTTATCTAGGAATTATGGTGAGTAAAGTAAAAGTGTAAAAAAGCGATTTTAAAAGAAATTTAGAAAAATCGGCATGCACTAAAAGGCATTTGGATGAAGTAATTACAAAATAAATCAGCAGTGGGTAGTACAGGGAAAAGTCGCTTGAATGTATATTTTTACCATTTAGATTCAACAGTACAACTATTATCAAATATTTAAACGTGTTTATGGTAGTTATTACTACAGTTTTCTGTTGATTCAGGCCCAATACTCTTCTAATAGACAACCTCCCTTAAGAGACCGTTTTGGTTTATTCCCTTGAGTGGTCTCTTTCTACAGTTTCTACTGTACTTGAATTACATCATCCTGGATGTTCGAAATAGTTTGCTCAACCAATATCTTAAACGGAAACATCTGTCTCTATTTCAGCCTCTGATAGCTATTTGGACAGATGTCAGTTCCGGCTTACAACTGTCAAAATATCCACCAGAGGCTGGAATAGAGGCAGATGTTTCGGACTACCTATATCTCTGCCTGTGTTTTGTGTCAATAATACAATAGTAAGTTTATATCGATGTTTGTAGATCCTCTGAAAGATTCGCTATCAGAAGTAAAAGTAATCGATGCTATGGTATCAGATCTGGATTGTTTCACTGGAGAATTTAAAGATATTTCTAGATCCTTTGATAACATCTGCATGGACGGTTTGTAATTTAAGCCTACCTTATTTCTTTTTTTTCTGAAAGGGTGGTTTGTAAAAGGCTTGCCTTAATCAATGCTCACATTATGTGATCTCTGTATAGTAAGTTAGAAATTAAGACCTATTGTATTTCTAATTTCTAACGTTACAATGGGGGTAGCTGTAGCTTGAACTGTTAGTGTATAGAAATATTTCGGAACGTTAGGGAAAACTTAGTCTTTATCTCGGTCGATCTAGAAGGGAATTTTTAAAGAAAGCTCCACAAACTAATGTGCTCATTGCAGTAAGAAGCGACATCTCTTTGTTGTCTACTGGCGTTGGTGGGAGCCAAATGTCTACTGAATGTACCAATGCTGGTGAAGGGGACATGACTTTCGCTTCTAAAGAATCTTACCTGAGAAAAATCAAACTTATTATCATTTATCCTTTATAAATGGTCTCCAGGGATATTAATTCTGAAATGTTTAATTATTCTAGATGATAAATTGAGTGTTGATAGAGCTCTAGGTATGTTAGGTCAGACTATAAAGTATCTGTACAGGTTCCAGCTAGATGGACAACAGTTTGGTGTGGCAGCTAAACAGATGGGAGAACGAGTGGCTGAAAGTAAGTTATCTAAAATATATGTAGAGCCACACTTACTTTCTTGTTAGAAATCACACGACGATGATCTGGATTCAAGACAGAAAAACCTCATTTCGGAAATAAATTTTCAAAGAATTGCTATCTTCCCTAACAGAATCGAAATCTAACTGTATATATATATATAATATCTTTGTCTTTATAAAACTTTGTATAATTTGTTGTTGTTTGTTTTTTCAGTGTATAAAGCTAAGAGTGGCCAGTAAAAAACAAGAGGCCTATATTGATGACGGAATGAATGAGAACTCTAGACGGAATGATAATAATATGCCAGTACACCCCTCAACTCTGTATTGCTCTATTCTACACGTGTATATTTTCAAAGATAATACTAGATTTGTATCTTCAGACGAGTTTATTTTCCAAATGTGGGGAATCTGTCAAATTATTCTTAATCTTGATGATATCTTATAGCGATGAAATAAACTCTCTCTTTTCTTTTTTCTATCTTTTTGTATCTAAACTAACAAAAATGTATTTTTCTATTCACCAATATCATAATTTTGATCAATAAACTTTCTTTAGCACCTATTGTAGATTATTCTTTGGGAAATTTAATAACATGGAGTTTACGTCTGCTCCAGTTGGGCTTGATGAAAAAATATACGCCAAATTTGGAAAGTTAATCCAGATTTCCGTAAAAGATGCGCTGAGGAGGTTTTTTATCTCCCTAACTAAGAAACACAACTTGATACTTTTTGATGAGTTTATTTTGGGTGACGATATAACTAATAAATATATAACATAACAAAAATATAAACTTTCTAAACATCGAGAAAATACCGGCAAATACCGGCGGAAATACCAAGATGTAATACCAAAGTATGGAGGAAAAACTGGATGAAATACGAGAAGAAGTACCGAAGTATGGAGGAAAAACCGGCACAGATATTCAGATTTTTTAACAATAAATTCAGAACGTTCAGTACTTTCAGTAAGTGGCCTATAACTACCTGCTTAATACAAAATTGAATGTAGTTGTTATATGAAATAAGGTTTCATTTTTAATTTATCTTTGGCACAATCTTGCCTAAATATCTTGAGACATATCATATTTAAATAAATAGATAAAAATATAACAAACATAACACAGTGGACGGACAATATAAATAAATAAATTAGAACTAAGTTAGATCAAACAATATCACTGTATATATATCAAGATAGTTATGGATCAATTTTTGAAAAGAAGTTGTTGGCGCACGGGGCACAGATTCGGTATTTCCATTACACCCTTATTCTGCCCCAATTCGTGAATTATCCAATATAGTCCTTGAGGCACCGGAATTTTAATCGTGCTTCAGTTTCGCTAAATTCTGAAAAAGAATCCAGAGTTCACATGTAGCATCCTTTCCAATCCAGCATTTCTCTTTTCAAAAATTGACCAATAACTTGTAGTTCAGAGGCGGTCAAATTGTGAAAAATATTGAAACTTATGATTTGGAATGATTTAAAAATGAGTTCCAGAACTTCAGAGGAAAAACTGAGTTTGCGACAAATTCACTGAACAGTACTGTTGAAGTCTGGCATAGATTTGTTCACATCCGGGTCAGATTCAAACATGAACAACAACACTAACAGCAGTCCATTGAAATTTTAGGTAGTGTAAAAAATAGCAACTCGACTTTCAGTTTCACTACGCTAGTTTCTACCTACAAATCAAATGGACTTTGACTATTTGTGTTCAGCATCCAACCAGGAGGTGAAAATATCTTTGTTGGACTATACATTACTTTAAGTGATGTTTCCCCTAAATCTCAAGAACATTAGCTCTACAAATCATGAATATATAAAAAATATCAGAAGTGGTGAAGATGATAAACAAGTGAAATATCACAGTTTTATGTTTTAGAAAATATTTTCTTAGTTAAAATACGAAGAGCTTAAACACAATGAGGAAGGAATATTTACAAGATGGCAATATATAAAGAATTATATAAAATTTTCAATGTAGTCTACCAAAAGTTACCGATGAAATGAACATCTTTCTGCGTAGATCAACTTCATAGTACATTGTTAACTGTCTCTTTAATATCATAATCAGATCTTGGTTTTAAGGAATACCTTTAGTATTTATTTTTATTCAAATAGTCGATTTCATGTAAACATTGGAGTAGACAAAACTACTTACTTTTAAAATCGGGCAATAGAACTCAGCACTTTTCACCACCGATTTTTGTTTTGATAGAGTACATATTAAGGGTCACTGGTGTTAACATTAAAAAAAAAAGATGACCCCTTGGCAATAGAATTCTAAACCTTCGCCACCGAATTTTGGTTTGTTTTTAAAGGACATTGTTAGAATGAAGTGAATACATAAACTATATACAATATCAGCACTTACAGCCATTATTCAACAATACATTATAAATATATGGAACTATTTACATACTATAGTCATGTTTAGTTGCCCATAATAATAATAATAATTGTACTTAAACTTGAAACAGATTTTGTCATTGATAAATTTCATGTTAACTTTGACACCCCTTGACCTTTAAGTGAACTCTTCCACACATGCATAATATAAATGATTATGATACAGAGCTGTACATGCCAAGAAGAGTTCATTTTTAAACCTAGGGGTGATTCTCTTCTTTTCACAAATATTTCCACAGAATGTAACTCTAACTTCAGATTTTAGATACAGGTACTTTATGTTCATCTGATTGGTCACCGAAATTGACCTCATCCAATCAGATAACTGTATTCTCTAAAAGTTAAGTTATTGTGAAGCAGGGATCTCTAGGCCTATACAGATAAGGTCTGAATAGACAAGATACTCTGTCCGGTGATGGATTAATATTATACAGTAGAAAGCATGGAGCCAATACACATGGTACTGGTCTTAACATGATGTGGATTCTTCTAGTGTCATCCTTCACCCCACAGCGTACCTGGTCTATTTCTACCAATGCTATAGCAAAGACGAATCTACGCGGACAAGAAGACTACAAGGGCGAGACGCTTCAATGTATAATGAAATGCTAGAGATTTACATTATACAATAACTAGACAATTCATATATATAATGGTGAAATGCTAGGAGCTAGAATAAGCAATTGCATGCAGTTCAATATACAGGTGCGCGATTCTAGACGCTAGAATTTACATGTACAATGGTGAGACACTTCAAGATCAATCGGCGCGATGCTTAAATATATTACAGTCGGTGAGAGAAGTAGGCGCTATGATATACAAGCACTAGAAATAAACAATTCAGAGACAATTCAATATACAGTATACAATGGCGCGATGCTTTGATATACAAGTATACAATGGCGCGATGCTTTGATATACAAGTATACAATGGCGCGATGCTTTGATATACAAGTATACAATGGCGCGATGCTTTGATATACAAGTATACAATGGCGCGATGCTTTGATATACAAGTATACAATGGCGCGATGCTTTGATGTACAAGTATACAATGGCGCGATGCTTTGATATACAAGTATACAATGGCGCCATGCTTTGATATACAAGTATACAATGGCGCCATGCTTTGATATACAAGTATACAATGGCGCGATGCTTTGATGTACAAGTATACAATAATGAGATGTTAGACAATATAATAAACAATGATGTCATGGCACTAGGATATACGCTGCTCTAAGAAGAAAATATTTACAAAGTCACTAACAAAACAAGTATCCGAGTGTGTTACGGTCAACGTTGGTTTGTATCCGAATTTGTCGTGAAAAAAGGTCCGAGTTTGTTATACAAAGTGGTCCGGGTTTGTTTTGATCCGAGTTGTCTTGTATTCTTAACATCCGGTAGATATTTTTACATCTACTTTCGCTTTATAATCATTTCACGATGGCCTTGTTAGATGGTGATGAGAACAAAAGGCACTGGCCTAAATTTGAGGACCGTTTCTTATAAGTATCATTAAGTCAATTTTTTTACTTAATTCTGTCACTTTACTTAAAAAGATACTACCTCTTAGAATAGACATACAATTTTAAGACTCAAACATAATCAACAAGTGTATATATTCATCAGTTGGACTTACTACGTGTCATGACTAAAGAATATAATCTCTATATAACACGATATATTCATTGAACTAAATAATTATTGAAACAGCTTCTAAGAATGTTTCAAAATTTATTTAGGTTAATGAATTATTACTTAGTTTTATGGATTTATCGGATAATTCAGGGATTCAGCCGAATATTTTTGAAGTAGGCAAGTCCACTGATAAACAAAGACTCATTTTAACTAAGTTTTAAATTAAAACTTTTTGGTCATCCTTAGGAGGTAGTATACCTTTAAAAAATCTTGCTCTTCACTATGCTAACTATGTACAATGATCAATATGATAAATCAAGCAAAATAAATCATTATAAACATTAATTTACACTACTCTATACTCCTTATATTTTCTGTGTAATCATCAGGTCAGACCCCTTTAAATTCGAACACTTTTACAGCCCAAGTTGCAGTTTTTAGGGCACTGATTATCACAATACCATCCCATTATATATCCTGGTACCAGTATACATCGTGATAGAAGTTTAAATCAAATTTACCTGTATAAATCATTATACCAGTATAAATCGTGATACCAGTATAAATCGTGATACCAGTTAACATTGTGATATATGCATATATTGTCATACCAGTCCAAAACGTATGTCAGTATATATCGTGACACCAGCCCAATATATACTCAGGTACTCTTATATTTCTTGATCAAAGGATATACTGTGAAACCGGCCCGATACCAATACAAATCGTAATACATGTATCAATCGTGACTCGAGACCATATTGTGATACCAGCTGAACTGTATTTTCTGGTGGCCTGACTGTGAGTAATAAAATAAATCAATATCTATAACTAGGTCCATAGTTAACCCCTGTACCAGTAATTGTAATGTCACCCTTCCTATATGAAGGGATTGACGGTAGAGGTTTACGGTTTTTACTTTGTTGTGGTGTACTCACTGTTGATGAATCTGACAGGTGATGCTGACCTACAAATAGGAAAAACATTTCAGTTCAAATTTCAATAATCAAAACAGGGTCTGATTGAGGGGGATCAAAGGAAACTGTTCTAGGATCCTGACCGCATATTCTCAAAACGATCTTATCGCTAGGATATCCCAGAAACAGTGTTGAAACAAGATTGAAAAGCGCTGGCCACATATTATGGAAACGATCTTAGCGCTGGGATGTCCTAAGTCCTTATCTTCTAACACTGATTCTATGATATCCTAGCGCTAAGATCGTTTCGAGAATACATGCTAAGATATCCCAGAAACAGTGTTGAAACGAGATAGAAAACCCCTGTTCTAGGACATCCTAGCGCTAAGATCGTTTCGAGAATACGCGGCCAGGGCTCTGTTTCTAAAAAAATCTTGCAATCTGATTTTGTCAGTTTGGTATTTCTTAATGTTTAATTACACACATACGACTTCTATCGCAAGACTTTGAGAAACAGGGCCCAGATACTTTGAATTTTCAAAATATTTGTAAAATATTCTAGTCTAAATCCCAAGATAAAATTGTCTATAGTTAAGGCGAGGGCAAGGAACAAACTTTGGGAGAGTCTAGATGGGCATTAGGCTTGGACACGGGCCTCAGGAAGCCTGTTGATCTGAGGGGCCTAGGGCAAGTCTTTGGCCAAAACAGATCATTGTAATTTGAAATCTAGGAGTTTTCTGTAAATAGTATTATAACAATGTTAGTATTTTTATTGAGGTTATAGATACTAAATTCAACTATACGTTAAGATTTCACATCAACAAAATTTATTAGTAGAGAATTTCACCTCAAACTTTATATCACAGCTGGACTGTTGCAGAAAGATTATTTCTTGGCGGGACATTAATTTTAAAGCATAATGAAAACCCTGGGCCGAACTTATCAAACAAAGTCTTGAAGGCCAAATGACAATGATAGATGACTGACTAGACAGTAAGTCAGAAATTTGTGCTAGGACTGAAAAAGAAAACTAGCTCTAGCATGCTCTAAGCCAAACCGTGCACATGCTGTGACAACACAAAGCTATAAATAGATACATGTGCATGCAGTAGACCAAAAATAACCTCACTTTTCCCGCTCTTTTCAATGTTTGAAAATTAATTTCTCCAACTCAAAAACTCACTTCTATATTTTCTACGTGGTTTTTCTCTCCTTGGTTTATTTTCTCGACTGTTTTCTTCAATTTGACTAAAATTGCCTAAATATCCAAAATTTGAAAAAGTGCAAAAAATAAAATTGTGATAAAACAACCAAAAACAATGAATGATACAAAAGCATAGATATAGTGAACTGTGTAAAGAGCTGTGTTCTCTGGTAGCTTCCAGGAATACTTTCAAAGAGAATTTTCGTGATTTGTCTAAATTTAACAGAGACACAAATAAAATAGATCAGTTGTCTGAAGATCACTAATTGTCAAACTTCAGTAGGTACAAAGGCTGAAATAGATCAGTTGTCCAGCTAAGAAAGTATAGTGGGACAATGTGTTCTAACATAAAAAGAAACAACATCATGCTTTCAACAGTAAATCAAAATTTTACTAATTATTTTCATCCAAATTGGAATTTTAGCACTAAAACAGTATATTCACAGAATAACTTAGATACAAGATAAAATTACCAACTGTACATCTAAATTCACCTCGAAATGTCAGCTGAAAGCGTCCTATTTTAGAGTAACAATATTAAACAAATTTTTTGCAAATACTGTATAATTGTGAATATAATACACACCTCTTCTTTACCCTAGCTTAAATCTGGAAAAGTTTCAGTCACTGTAAATAATACGCACCCAATTTGCTAGATAAACCAACAAGCTAAAGACAGGTTTCCTAATTTTTTAGTCTCAATTAACTATTTGATTAATTGGTGTTTCTAATGAATTATCATGTATCCTTAATGATGTTCTTATTGCATATAATTAAGAGTTTTAACCAATCATAAATGTCCATGTATGTACAGTCTGGATAAACAAAAAAATTCTTTTGACCTTTCTTGATCGGTCACTCATTGGAATTCTGCTGGTAATTATTTTCTAATTTAACTAGTTATGAATTAATTATGGACATGTAAGACAAACTGGTATTTTTCCAGAACGCAAGCACCATAATAAATACAAGTAAGTGACTATGTTTAGATTTGTATTAACTTGAAGGACAAATTTTTCCCAAAATCTTTATTTTGAAGCTGATATTCCAATTCAGATAAAAGTAAAAGGTAAAATTTTGATTTACCAACAAGAAGTGGAATGTAATTGTAACGTACCTGGTATATCAGCCAGTCTGTTTCGACCAACAGTCTTCACTTTATTACTTACATTCTTCTGGGACGTGGATTTCCTCAAATTCTGGAATCAGAATAATATTTTGAGAAAATTATTTTTTTGAAATAAGTGTAATAAATGTGTCTGGTATGATAATAACCACCCAGAAGTGATAACAGGCTACAATTTACAGAACGTTGAAAATGTCTGCTTGGCAAAAAATCAAATCAAAATCCACTGTTTTCTCAGAGGTGGTATTAAACCTAATGTCCGTTCCATCATCATTTTTTAAACTAAAACTTACCGTGTTGCTGATTGATGTTGGAATATTACTTTCAAAACCACTTCGCTTTCGTCGTCGTAAATCACTTTCAATCTGAGATATTTTCCTTACACCACCTTTATATTTCTCGTTCACTGGCGGTAGACTCGTGTCAGTATGAATACTTAACTTCTCGGCAGTCACGGAGGAAATATTATCATCACTTTGAGGAGTTCCGTTAAAATGAAACATGCCCTCTTCATAGTCCTTGTTATGTTTCGCTAAACGACTAGGCGTTAAAGCATTCGGAGGAAATTCACTAGTAGAGTCTCGAGTTGGTCGATAAAGAGTTCTTGGCCCTTGAGAATTTTGCGCCTTTGTTCGTTTTTTCGCTGCTAAGGCCGCGATATTTCTCGTGTTGGATACGATTGTCTCTTTATCGTCGAAAGATTGGCGAGATTTTAACCCAGACACATGTTTCTCTGCTGTTAAATATGAATCTGTTTTCCACTGAGATTCCAACTGTTTTAATTTGGCACTTCGAGTAAAAACTTTGGTATCGTCCTCATATCTGGAATTATTAAGTAATAAAAATCTATCTTAGAAACAAAGAAACATTCAGACAAACGCAAACAATTACAACATAGATTGTTTATCACAAAATAAATTAACATAAGTTACGAGTTCTTAAAACATATTGTAATATTCAAAACATTTCTTTCTTGAAAATATTGCAATTGTTTCTGTAAATCCCTTAACATTTTCAAAATACAATATGGATTTTGGAGAGATATGTCATAACCAAATATTACCCACGTTTGAGTCATGGTATATGCATTCAATATTAATATTATCAGTCAGTTCGAAGTGTGAATTTGGACATGGACGATTTGTTTGGATTTGGAATAAGTTCTTTTATCATCTCTACTTTGATTTATTGAACCTATAGTCACCATAAGATATACAATGTACAACAGCTTTATTGCACTTGATGTGATAAAAAGAACTGAGCCTTTGTTGGTGTAATCAGATGGTTTTTTTTTATGGTTGAAAGATTCAATTTACTCTGTTACTAACTCTACAAGGCAAATGTCTGATGAATTATTCTAAAATAACAACCATGATGAAAACTTACCCAATATTAAGATCTGTAAGATTACTAGGTTGTCTCCCGTCTCCGAAAGTACTCCGAGCTCCACTGGCTGTTAAAAACTGTAAATAAAAACAACAATTCATGGCTACTGAGCACGAAATATTTAGGATTTGCTAACTAAGACAAGACTCTAGTCAGCGACAAAAATTTGCAGAGAAAGACCATTCGTGCTCACTATATTACCTTTAGTTTGTTACATATTGCGATCTTAACACGCTCTAAGCCAATTTTCTATTGCCATAGCAACTCAGTAAGAACACCCTCTCCGATGTGACAGCTCCATACGTGACTTTCTAGCTATCAGAAACTAAAGTCTTACCTTTAATGCTGGAGTTTGTCCAGTAGAATCTTCACCTTTCAATATTTTATCTTGTCTTTCTATTTTATACAGTTCATATAATTCATCTAGATCTTTAGGACAGGGCACGTGACTATCTGAATTCAAAATAATTATTTCTTTCAATATCTTTTCTCATTATTCCAGTCAACCCAGCAGAAAATTGGTACAGATAACTTGTAAAACCTCAATGTTCAGCAAGATGTCATTTATTCAGAACATGGGTTTTCATCCTGGGGGTGATTTGGCTATTTTTGGGTCGTAATGAGAATCTTGGTAAATGTAAGATGTTCTTTTCATTTTCAGTGAGGCCATATTCTCCAACAAGATGAAGATTGCAGGAAGGAAAACCTCAGAGAAAATCAAGACATAGTAAGGATTTATAAGGGAGAGGGGAAGTAATGCAATTGATCAAGGATTCTGAAAGGGGTAATAGAAAGAATAAGGTTGAAAATCCCTGATTAAGAATATAAAAAACTTACCATCTATCAGATCTCTCTGTTGTTTAATAATCTCATCACATAAATTACGATGATGTCTGAACCTCGTTATTACCATATCTTTTTTCTTGATTTCAAAATCTCTCATCAGACATGAGGCAATATTCTGTAGATTCTCTATCTCTAGTTCGTGAACTTTACACATCTGTCTAATGATCTCTTGTTGATCAGCACTGCTTACTTTTATAGGTATAAACTATAGGGAGATAGAGATATGTTAATTTTATCCTTTGGCAGGCCTAAATTTGTTTGATAAATCGTGTCTATCTGATTAGCAAATTGCAACCCCCTGGACACAAAATTAATGTGGAAGTTCCATCAGAAACAACATAATGTAATTGATCCTATGGGGGCTCAGGTCAACTATGCAACTTGGGGAATATGAGAGCAACTGGCTTTATAAAAACTAGCCTACAAGCAACTGATAAATCACTGGACTAACTGAATGGACAATACAAGAGTAAGAGTTGTCAACAGTTGCTCAAACATGTTCAAACAGAATACAATTATGGACATAGACCTGATAAGTGCAAATTTTTTAGTAAATATATCATATGCTCCAGGGGATTAATTCTAAAAATTTCAACCTAAGATGATATCAGTGGTCCAGTCATCTGATTGGTCAATCACTAAAATTGATTTTTAATTTAGTTTTATCATCCAATCAGATTACGATATTTCTTAAAATCTACATTTAATCTTTGTTTAGTTTTCCAGAACAAGGTCCTTGATCTTTAAAAAGGTTTAAATTAAGGTGTTACAGAGAATCTGCACAAAAATTTTAAGTATGTTACCTCTTCTAGTTTTTTCTGTTTATCTTTGGCATTCTCTAATTCATGTTGAATAGTTATTCTAACTTTCTCTGTTCGGTATTTCTCCTCGTGTAAAACTTTCATCTCTTCCCTAGCAACTCGAACATCTTCAGGTTCAGTGATGTCGTCAAAACCTCCCACTTCTTCTAGTGATAGAAAATGAAGCATTCTGAATTCATTCTGGATCAACTAATCAACTACTTGCATTTGAAATTTGGAACACCAGACATCATTATGTTAGTATGAAGAAAGAAAGATCAACCTTTCTTACACAGAAAAATCATATTTTTTATTTTCATATTTTATATTTAAGTTTATTTATTTGACCATAAGGCGAGATGCCTATAGTTCACTTATATAATATACATAATATACATAATTTACAATATATATACAAAATGTAATACGTTATTTAATCATACGCAATACAGGTAGATAAATACAGGTAAATATACAATTCACTAAATTATGAATAGCATTTATGTAAAAGCTGTGTGGAAATCCTAGTATAACTGATTTCTTTTTTCTGAACATGTTTAAGTGTTCATGGCTATCAGAAATTAGATCAGATTCAGTATGTTCAGGACTAGTGATCAGTATAATTACTAATATATCTTAACAAGTAAATAATATTATCATACAAACCTTCAAATTTATTATCTGTTGTCTGTGTATTTTCTCTCTTTTGTTGTAGTCTAGCTTTTTCTACATCCCATCTGAAGTATATTAAAATGACTAAATTATTTCACTGGAGGAAACAAAACATTATTTCTATCAAATCAAAATACTGCTGGGAAGTGGATGGGTAATACAAGTAACAATGAATAACCCACAAATCCACACTAATAGAAAGGAAATTTTTTATGTAACAAAGTATTTGAATGGCTGTATATTAGAACCTAGAACAAGAGATGTATAGCTATCTCTTCAGATCATGGATGGCCAGCGAAGTCACCTGCAGAAAAAACACAACCTCTTAAATCTTGAACAACTCCACCCTATTTGTTATTTGTGACCTCGGCCAGTGCTTTACATGGGAGTTTTTATGAAACTTTCTCACTCTTAATACAGCCAGATTTGTATTTTGATTAGACTGGATTGTAGCGTTTCTGTTAACTGTTCTTGAAAATGGGATTGTAGATCTCCGGGTTAGGATTAGTGAACCACAATATTGTGTTACTTACTCGCTGACAATGAGTTGATTCCTGTTGGTTTCAAGACTCACTTCCATCGAATTATTCTGTACTTCCATTAAACTTCGTCTTTAAAAAAAACACCAGGTGATAAAATACATCACAATGAAAAATTTCACACAATCTTAACAAAAAATCATGAAATGTTCAGCTATATTTAGTTAAAATTTAAGCACCAGATTAGAGATTTTAAACATAGCTCAGCAAACAGCAGTGAGAGTTTGAGAAGAAAATTTTACAAACTTAAAACCCTTGATTAACCGATACATGTATTTAACAAGGGTTCACCTTTTTCTGAAATATTTGGGTAATAATTTCAGTTTTTAGTCAACAAGGTCACAGAACAGTAGTGATAAGTCAAAAAAGAAAATTCTACAAAACGAAAAGACATGTCTTGGATATATGTATTCTATATACATCAGAAAAACACCTAATACTAACCTTAATTCCATCTGATCTTTAAAACAAGTTAATAATTGTTCTCGTAATTTATTCATCTCACTTCTATCTGCCGTGTTCTTAGCCATCAACACTTCAGCTGTAATATAAATCAAAAATGTCGGTTACTCTGTGTAGGCATAGGCATATTTCTTGCCAGCCCATCTCTATTTTTTTGACAAATTTAGTTCTGATTGAGAAGGTATCTACTTACATTGTACAGCCTGTATATTGGCTACAGCATGTTGTCTGCTAGCTGTTCCCTGGTCATGAAGTCTGTCCCGAAGTCGTAGTATCTCTTCACGCAACTCCGTTATAATGTTGGTATATTGAGCTATATGATAGGCTACATCTGTTACATTTCTTCTCACCTAGAGAAATAAAGAAAAAAACATCAATATTTTACATGTGGCTCAACTAGAAGAGTGGGGCCTGTGGACTTGGTTCAAGCAGTCCCTATGGTTGTTGAGCCACTGGTTTTACAAGGGTAACAACTTCCATTCTTGAATTCTTGATATATATAACCATATACAGTATACAGTGTACTAAGCTTATACAGTATAATTGCGAGTATAATACTCATCTATAACACCTCCTTTTACTAAACTATGAATTTATGTCAGCAAAATAGCTTGCACAACCTTTTTTTATTGTGAAAAATAGATCATACTAGCCTTAGTGTACAATGGAGTCAAAAAATTCAAAACAAAGACAATGTCCACGGAGGCAAAAAATAACAAACCTTAGTTTTGATGTGTTTAGCTCTATCAGCATAGACTAGTGTATTGCGAGATTCTTCAAAGTTTAAACTGGCTGGACTAATGTGAGCAATCATAACAGTTTTACAATTACCACCCAGAGCATCCTTTAATAACCTCGTTAATTTACTATCACGGTAATTAATATAACGACTTCCATTCTTCTCACCTGGAACACAATAGGAAACAATTTTCTATATTTTTGAGAAATGAAATTTATATTCATTAAGCAGTATAATTAATAGTTATAAGATTTTCTGATTGACTTATTACTAGTGACCGAAATGTCCATCACCAATCATCATAAGCTTGTAAAGAGTGAAATGTGGCAGGTAGCCCTTCCAGAGCATTCACTGTCACAACAATTTACATCAATTTTGCTTCAGGATGGTACGCTAATATTTCAAAACTTTCAACACACCATATGACATGGTGAAATGACTGAGCTTTGAAAGTCCACTGACAGTACTATGGAAGATGAGGCTTATTTTCAACCCGAGAGAGTCCATATACAAAAGACGTTTTGATTTTTATCATGAAGAAAATGATAAGGCTACTTACTGAGAGCGTTAATACAGTTGCCTAACGCTAAAAGAGATCTGTTGATATGAGCTCCCTCTACCATACGTTTACCCCTATTGTGTGTATTGGCTGCTCGTTCAGATCCGGCTAAATCTATCAGAAACAGTTTCCCGGTTCTCACTTCCTGCATTGTGTTCTTTACCCGGTTTCGTTGTTTGACGGTAACTTGTAACACAGCATGTGATCTAGAGGAGGCCTGATTGGCTGCTGTCGGTTCTTGTGTTCTCTCTCGGTTACCTTTCAGTAACATTTGCATCACCTAGGGATTAAAACATATATCGTCAGTAAACTAAACCAATATATTGGTGATAGGGTTTGAAAGTTGACACGGGGCTGACAGTCCTAAGCACTGACCATGGCTTCAGAATCTTTTTACCTTGAAGAGGATTCAAACCCATGGCACCTTATTGCCTAACAGACTAGCTTCCTACTGAGCTCTTCACATTTTTAGAAGTCAAAATTTTCCAATGATAAATTAAGAATTCCCCTGCTCAGAGACTTTATTAAATATTTATATATCATTTGTCTTCAGATTCCAATAACAGCTTATATATTTGCATTACCTTTTCCAATGTGCCTGTCCAGGGATTTTAAATATCTTTAACGCATCCATCCAAAAACTTGATATTTTTTCCATGTCACTCCTTCCTTTTTGCACTCAAAAGGTACTATCTCAGCATACACAGGAATTGACTCACAGACTGCAGGTTACCATGTGATATATTAAGACTATAATAATTACCTCATCAGTAGATCTAGCTGACACTTCTGATAAACCAGCTACAGTAACATCACCCTTAGAATTCTCTCGTAGATCCAATATACCAGACGCAGGACTTAACAGGTCTCTTATCATTTCATTATAAATCTGAAGAGAGAAAAAATTGAAAACTTAATGGTGGTCTGTATCCAAAAAGAGATAGTTTAGAAGAGAATTCTTATAAACCAAAACAAAACAATTTTGACAGAATATTAATAGTGGTCTGTATTTAACTAGGGTTTATTATTTGATATGGCTTACTTATACAAATGAACTCTTCTTAACCTGTATGTGTATAATATGCTGTCATTATAGACAGGGGAACTGATTGTGGTCTGTATCCGATTCTTCAAGATATTTCTACACTCCTAAGAAAGAGTTTTTATTTTCAAGTTTATAATGTTAATGAAAAAGGACACTGTATCATGATGTAAACGTTCCTGTATATTAGTACCAAATAGCATCATCAAGGGTTTTATCTTATAAATGGATAAATATTTTTTAGCAAGACTAAGAGAAAAGAGTTATCTCCCATTAGTCTCCAAGATATAAAGTAAGTGGTACATAATATTTTCTATGATCCCCAACTTTCTATTTTGTTTACCCTGATGGTCAGTTCTCTGTTACCCTAGAGGGTTTCAAACCAATATGATCACAATCATTTACCTGTGTTGTATTAAATAGTCAACTCTAATTTGAAATAATCTCTACAAGCTGGTAATGCGGTTTCTGCCTTGCAGACAATCATTCAACTAACCAATTCTGTATTAACTGAAATTAATTTCAAATCAACTAACCTCTAAATAAGACATGGTGACTTTATATGCCATATCATCACTAGTCTTATCCATTTCCAGGAATAAATCATTGAGAGCTCGGACCATGATTCCTGGAGAATCGTCTTTCCCAACCATAGTATGGGTTTTACCAGCACCTGAAACATAACCAAATTATTTATATTTACTGTATATCATTAAATATATCAACCTAGTTCTCACTGTAAACGCCAGCCTCTTGAGTGCATGGGTACAAACAGGGGGCAGAATGACTTAATGGGGGGACTGTCGAGGTAGAGATTCAAAATGCGACAGCTCTGTGGAAGCACAATCAATCAATAATCATCTCAATAGTCTTACCTGTAGCTCCATAAGCAAACACTGTAGCATTATAGCCAGTTATAACATTGGGGATTAAAAATTTAGTTGTGGCTTCATAAACATCCTCCTGTAACAAATAATGACAAATAAAATTATTAACATAGATATATTCAATAATATTTCACTAAACTGTTAGTACAAACAAACATATCATTAGATAATAAATATATACAAAATACACAAATAATAATTATGTGAACTCTCTTGAAGTGATGTCAATTTGACAAATTCCATTGACAGATCATCTTCACAATGTCAAGCTATCTTCTAATACCTTGAATGTACCTTGTAGCTGACATTGATATCACAGAATGACAACTTGATACTCTGTGATATATAGAAAAGACATAGTGAGAAAATTCCTAATTTGAAATATTTTTAAAGGAATTTTGCAATTTTCATACATTTTTAGTATTTCTAAAGACTATTTACATAATTATATTCAAGACTAAAATCAACACCCGAAATGGCGCACCTCTCCCCGTACGTGTCAGCATGCCCCGATTAGCCAACAACAACCACCATATTCCTCATAGTGAAGCTCAAATTCAATAAAATCTTTAAAGTCAAGAGCTCAAGGCTAATAGATAATTAAGGTTTTAAATTTGTTGTTTGAAGTTAGTTCAGGTATCAGAAACGTGTGCTATAATTGCACATTGCCATTAAAAATCAATGCACTACAAGTTTGATATAAAATAAATTGAATAGAAGGGAAATTAATTATCGATTTTAGATCCATTTCAGTTTTGATGTGAGTTGATGATTCACAACCTACCTCATTTCATCCTTACTTTCATTTCATAATTTATATTGTAATAGATGGTTAATCATTCTGATTGACTAGCTAGATGTTTATAGTCTGAACCTCTGATTGACTAGCTAGATGTTTATAGTCTGAACCTCGACTAACTAGATGTTTATAGTCTGAACCTCTGATTGACTAACTAGATGTTTATAGTCTGAACCTCTGATTGACTAGCTAGATGTTTATAGTCTGAACCTCTGATTGACTAACTAGATGTTTATAGTCTGAACCTCTGATTGACTAGCTAGATAGTTATATTGTAATAGATGGTTACTCATTCTGATTGACTAGCTAGATGTTTATAGTCCAAAACTCTGATTCCTAATGTAGAATCGTTTCCAAGTCTAGTTGATGTTTGATTATTTGAGCCTTTTGTTTCCATTTTTTCAGATCTTCTGTGTTCTTTTCATATCTTGTCAACTTATGTTTTGTTCAAAATAACAAATTTTGATTATAATTTACAATTTTATTGCTGTTTCATTTAACAGCTAGCCAATTTGTACAACTTTGTTTCAAAAGTAGTTTTATAGTGAAAACTTGGTCGGACCTTGTTCATTTGACAATTCAGAGACCATCAAAAAGTCAGCAGTTTCAGACTACAGTGTTTACATCATGTCATGCAATTCTCTTGATAAAAGTCTCGATAATTAAAAACCTATTTTATAAAATGTCAACATCATGCACATCTTAATTAAAATCTACAGTAATTAACTTATTTTAATAGATTCTGAGAATACTTCATTTTAGAAAATAACAAACTTGAGCAAAATATTTTGATAAAAGGTTAGTACACTGCACGGAAGAATTAATATTCAATTGAGATGGGTAGAATTTCCTGCAGGTTATTGAGAGAGCACATGAAATCCTTAATACTTGATATATTTTAAATAAGTAAATATGAAAGTTGGCTAAGTACTGTAAGAAATAGGAGAGATCAGCCATGATGTCATAGAGGTTTCTTAATTTTTCATGTGTATTAGGGACACTGATAGGATCAGTTTGCATTATTCCAATTTGTCACTAATCGCGAAGGGCCTATGTGATACAAACACTTAGTTTTAGTGGAATTGTCTGATTGAAAATTGTTAAGGTGCAAATTGATGCTATCAGTGTCCCCGATACACATAAATAGTTTAGAAAACCTCTTTACAATCTCTTTAACATTGAACTAAATTTCAACTATTTTACACTTTGTCAAGTCCTGCTCCATCAATTTGCAATCATAAAGAATACTTTATCAAAGTTAAAAGTTTGTTAAAAATTGACTGTAAATTATGTATGTTAAGAAAGGTTTCTTTATGTTTTTAAAACAATGTAGGAAACATATTGATCTCTGTTTTCATTTTACCATTACAAGTAGAATAAAAGATCTTCAATGGAAATTACATCTATTGTCTAGGAACTAAAACAATGATTTCGGAATGTCTTAGATTGTAAAAACAGTAAAAATCTTGTCTACAGCAGAAATCATTAGCTCTTTTAGAGGACACTTGAGGCTCATTTCACGAAAATCTTCAGAAAATTAAACACATTTATAAATTCTAATCAGGATACTTTTTAGTGAGATTGAGCCCTCCTTCTGAATCCCAAATGGATTACGGTAATACTGGTTACCCTAAATTATTAAATTTTATATATTATAAGGTCAAAATTCTACAGAACACGATTTAAAGAAGAATCGTGTCAGATCATAGATAGGAAAAGAATTAACCATCAGAAAAGGCATAAATCTATATCTGCATTTTTAATCAGGTGCCTCATTCTCGAACACTTAACTTAAGATGATTTTCGTTTCAGTCATCTGATTGGACAATCACTTAAAATCAAAATCAAGTTTTATTATCCAATCAGATTACTGTATTTCTTCAAATCTGGGACCTTATTCTCCAAAACCTAACCTAAATAAAATCCAGATTTTCAGAAATACAGTAATCTGATTGGATGACAAAACTAAATTTAAAATCAATTTTAGTGATTGACCAATCAGATGACTGCAACACTAAAATCTCTTTATCTTAAGTTATCTAGAATATAGCCCCAGATTGACCTATTTCAGTTTCTGCAAAAATAGACTCCAAACCCCAATGGAAATCTATTGACTTGAAAAGACATCACGTAGATCTGTATACTACCTCTCTCTCTCTATTCCCTTGTATCATCAATATCATAAATAATTCACAGTTCTACTGATTGCTTCAAAATATTGTCTTCATTATTTATTCTGAAATCTACTGATCTAAGAACAATGAGGAGACAAGATTTTCTAGACTGTTGAATCATTTAAAGTTGTCAAGAAATATTCCTTACAGATCTTAAAGAATAATTTATTTCAGTCTTTTTCCATAGACTTAAATTTAATTTTCATAGATAAAAACAAAAACATTTTTATGACTACAAGTTCAATGAACATTTCGTTATGCAGCATTGACAGACTGCAACGCTTTGTCTAATAGTTATGCTGAATAAAATTTTTAAAGAATAATTCATTTTGCTGAATTGGCATGGGCGTAGGAGACAGGGGGGTAAATATTATCTTTTCGGGCAGCAACTGAAAAAAACTCCAGCAGACATGTAGTGTTTTCGTAGGCTCGGTATTTCTACATATGTCTTTTCTATATATCACAGAGTATCTTAAATTGACGTGACGTCTTTTTAACATTCAAACTCATGATAATGATAACTCAACAACCTTCTGGGCTGTGTTCACAGACCAAATCCATTGATTTCAGATTTCAGAGAGTCCACACAGCTAATAAAGTAATGACTAATTTCATTATTATTTTCTGAAGAAATAAATATTATAACAAACCTGATTAGCTGACCCATCAAATGTTCGATCAAATACAAATTGTTTTTCTCTTGATCTGTTGGCTCGGAGAATATCATCATGGTCTTCTGTTGGATCTAATAACACAACCATCTGAAATGCAGAATAATATAAATAATATATAATTAATCGTATATAGATACTTTACTATGAGGCTTACCAGACGAACAAACTGTGGCAGAGCCAAAGGGGGTGCAAAAAGGGGAATCCCCCTCCTTGTAGCCCCAAAGGCAAGTTTTTCGGGCAAAAATCTCATAATTAAATTAGAAATTCGGGCCATCTCCGATATTTGGCCCCCTCTCGGACATAAACCTGGCTCTGCCTCTGTGAACAAACATACATTTTACCTAACATCAATCATTTGCACTGGAGAATATAAATAATTTAAAATGGCATCATCAAGATGAAACTGATTGTTGCTCATCAGCAGTGTGGTAAGAATATCAGGGGCAGTCATGCCCCAACAACATCAGCCCTCTCAAAGACAAAGATGTGTTTGGATTTTCACCAGGCAAGCTATTTGACTCACCAGTTATGACATTGCTTGATATTAGGAATATCAACTCAGTCCCAAATAAACTGTTAAAGAGAAACATGGTAGAAATATGTGATAGTGTTGAAGAGACAAAGACAAGCAATCAGAAATTTCATGAAAAACACTTCTATTTTTGGGGTATTTAAATATACAAGAGTTCACTGATATTTTCATCTTCAAAACACCAATGTTTTGTAGTTAATTCATGATTTATAATTGAAAATAGGGCTTGATACAACTCAAGAACAGGATTCTAAATGACATGTTTAGAATGTTAAAAATACTATTTGGGTCAGGCCTTTTTTAGAAAACTATTTAGATATCAGGAAAAGAAAAGATACAAAATTGTAATCTAAGGTTGTAAAAAGCTTATTACTAGGCAGGGAGATTTAATACCTGGTACGATGTGCCGGGTCACAAATATCAGACTATGAAAATTTGACCCTGGTTGAATTATTAAATTTATATGTTTCTAAGAGAGAACAGACAGACTATTGAAATGAGAAGTATATTTTGATAATGACACTGTATTATTTATTGATACACCCAGAAATACAGAGTAATATTTCCTAGATACCATTGTTTGATATCTATCAGGTATTTCATTATTAGTTTCACTTATTTATTGTAAACACAGTCAATATAAAGATCAGAGGGCGTTTATTGGGTACTTTATTTCAGGGACAGTATTGTTATAGGAAGGGTCATGTATTGTACTGGTATGATGTGCTTTAACATGCTTTTAACCCTTTGAACACTGAGACATTAATGTCAATGAAATAAAATATCATATATCCTGAACTACTTTAAAGACTATGCTTTTAACCCTTTGAACACTGAGTGTAAATGTCAAGAAAACAAAATATCATATACCCTGGACTCCACGAAATAACTTAAAGTATAGGATGTTAACGTTATATGATAGTAATAGTCGCTCCACCTTGAGTATTTGATAAACCATGATGATCATACCCCCTCCCTCCCTCAGGCCTGAGAATGTCTTATTTTTAAAGTGAAAATTAAGCCCTCTAAATGCTAAAAATACATCTAGAATTGGTTGGCTTCTGGGGGTCTATGGGGGATCTTGCCCTTTGAGTATTGCTTTAGAGGAGACGCCTCTCATTTTTGCCCCATCCCCCACACCCTTCAGGTATTTTCTAGATAACCCCCTGGGTGAGAGACTGTTTCCCAATCCATTATTCTTTTATCAATATTCTTTTAATAGAAGCTTATTATTTTATATTAAAACATACATGCTTCATAAAAGTCTATAATTATTCAATTCCCTTGCGTAAATCAATAATGCAGAACAAAATAAATGAAAAATCATTTGGGAATTTAAATTCAATGATAGGAAAGTGTGAAATGAACACGACCATTACATTGTATTGTTATCGAACCTTTTCACTAGTGTTTTTTATAAAAACATTCAATGATGTAGAATTTGTAATTTATCAATAATTTTTTTAGGAATACTTATCACAAAGCCAGAAGAAAACAAAATAAATTCAGCAGCTAATTCAATGTTTCCATAGCAACAAAACAGAAGACAATAGAAAATTTCAAGAAATTACGGGTAGATTTTAATGCATGTTTCTCATTTATGATTAATGGAAATCGATCATAATTTGTACTCTTAAAAAAAGTTAAAATAAAATGAAAGATTTTGAGTTAATGAGCTACACAGGCAGTCTAATTCAAATTTAAACTTTCCTTCCGTTATTTTGTACTTTTTTTTTATATAGCCACTTCAGTTAGGGTCTAACGACAGCCCTCTTGAACATTGACATTTGGCCTATCCTGATAAAATGTCAGCTGGAGAAGGTAAAATTTGTTTGGTTAAAGCAGACATCATCAAGTTAGGTCAAAAGGCTAATAAAAAAACAAAAAGAAAGTTAAGTTTACTCTTAATTAGACTGCTACACAGGCAACACCAGGTAGTGGGCAAGATGGGAAAGTTTGTCATAGACTGTCACATATAAATTCCTAGTAATCTTCCAACTGTCAAGGTATCTTAAAAGTACACAACCTATATCACAGAAGGGTTCTATCTATTGCTTCTTGACGCTGTTCCATGTCAGCCCCTCGAACCTGCATCAATAACAAGGCAAAAAGGGAAAAGAAAATGTCAGGATCAATTTTTATTTATATGTTCTCTTGCTTTCAGAACCATTGCATGCCTTCTTCCAATCGATGCCCATTCTAGGCATTGCGCAACGACATCCCTTCTTTATCAAAGACCAGATCAATGCCCATCTTAATAATAATATTATCTTAACAATATAAAATTTTAAAATTAGACACAAAACAAATATTGTACTTAATCAATAGACTCGATTATTCTGAATATTCCAGTCTCTTTATTTGTTACAAACTATCTAACACAGGACATGTAGTAAGTTTACAGATGGTGTTTCTAAGGGATCTAGTCAACAAGATACTGGATTCACCAGGAGCCTAAGTTTCGAAAAAAATTTAAATAAAGTGAAATCTAGATTTTAAGAAATATTGTAATATGATTGATTAACAAAATCAAATGACTGGTACATTAAAGTCATCTTTGATTGAGAATTGCAGGAACAAAATATATCGACTGAAAATTAGAATGGTACAAATTGATGTTAACAGTGTTTGCAATACACAAAAAAATATTAAGAAAACCTCTTTACAATCCCTTTAACATGACTATATCCCTGTAATAAGTTTTCCATGTTTTCGTTGTCATTTAGAGTGAAATAGATTGTAACAACAGAGCAGAGAAAACTCTATAATAAATAAGAGAAGAGAATACTTGAGAATAATCAAGACTCTTCATTCTGTTTATTATTAGGTAAGAATAAAAAAATACACAACTACGAACTAAGTTCATGTCTGAAATTACATTGAAGTGGTCGGTAAAAGCATACATTTCAAAAGGTTCACATACCAGTTTCTTGGTTCAATTTAAACACACCTCTATTACAATCTGATTGAAGAGTAGGGATTGATCAATAAATGTCAAAGTTGATCACAATGTTTCAATGTAAACCTCTGACCTCATGAACACTTCCCAGTCAAATTAAAATTAGATCAAACTTTCATTCCGTTTTTTTAATTAGACTTATTTTTAATTAAGCCACTCCAGTTTAGGTCTAACGACACCCCCCTTTGAACGTCCGTCAAATCCACCTTTTGATTTAACCTGATGACATCTGCTTTAACTGTTCGCACCACAAAATGCCAACTCTGGAGAAAGCGAAATTTTGATTGGTTGAAGCAGGTTAGGTCAATAGGTTAATCAGACTGGAATACTTCCCTACTCTCCCCCACCCACCCCAAACCACTTTTCACCCCTGAAGAGTTAAAACTGACGCAGTTGGTAAACAGTTTTGAAATTCAGTCTAAAACTCCACAACCCAATGTCAGACTATCATTAATATTATGAAACCATTTAGAAGTTGGATGCCAAATTATTTATTATGATATCTCAAACCTAACAACAAAGAAAACAAATTTATATAGTGTATTCTAGATCTATATGAAAACGTGAGATATAGAAAAAAAAAGATGGTCTTTTCTCCGAGTCTTTCAACACTATTGTGCCATTGCTTAAAAAAGCGTGATCAGTTGAATCAACTTTGATCTGTGATCTTCCACTTTAGATGGTTGTTATATATTAAAGCTATTTATTTAAGGACTGTCATGTTTATTTTATACAATACAGGTAAACACAAATCAATTACCAGGTACAATAACTATATTATCTTTAATATGAAATGTTTTGACATTAAAGAAAAATAACTGATAGAGTTATCAAATTTATGATCAAACAGTGTTTATAAAATGAAATTAAATTGTGTTAAAATTAAATTGCGTTATATGTCCTTGTCTTCTATCTCCATGTAGCCTACTATGTAGTGTACAATAAGGGAAATTTTACAAAGGCAGTGGCAAAAGCCTACTACTTTTCATCGAACTGTTGAAAGATTGATAATGTTAAATGAAATTTAGTTAAAATGAAATAAAATTGCAGTCAAATGAAAAGAAATTTAGTTTTAAAAAAATGAAATGAAATTGCAGTAAATTGCAGTAAAATGAAATGAAATGACAGTTAAATGAAATGAAATTGCAGTAAATTGAAATGATATTGCAATAAAATGAAATGGCAGTTAAATGAAATGAAATGAAATTAAAGTTTAAAAAATGAAATGAAATTAAAGTTTAAAAAATGAAATGAAATTGCAGTAAAATGAAATGAAATGAAATTGCGTTTTCTGTTCTAGTCCTATGCCCTTTATTACTTGAAGACAAACATTTCTATGTAATGTACAGTAACGCAAATTTTACAAGGACAGCAGTATTGCCCAACTTCAACAACTTTTCCATTTCCAATTGTTGAAAGATTGTTAACATGCATCTCTCTAGCGTAAAACTATCTTTCGTCCTTAAAGAAAGTCATTTCCTCTACGGCATTAACCTTCAGTTCAATTTACTTAAATCTTACAGTTATTTATTTTTTATGTCTGGCTTAAATATTGAATTTCTAACTTGTCCCTGAAACACAGATTTATATATTGAT